TGTGGGGGGTTCCCACTGAGAACTCTGGGGTCTAATCCCCAACCTGGGCCCCCAAGCAGAGAGCACCAGAACTGAGAAGGGTACTCACATAACATCTGGCTGTGAAAAGCAGCAGGGTACTAAGTCTAGGCTCAGTGTCACGGCTTTAGCACAAGTGACTCCATTTTGTTCCTGTGGTTTTTTTCTTGAACAAGACCTATCAAGGTATGGCACCCTACAAATGTGCCCTAACCATTGTACAGAGAAAAATGCCTTTTAAGTAACTCTAAAATATATGTATTTTATGCTATAGATGCTATGTATGCATTTTTGGCTCTACTAATTGTAGCATGTTAAGACTAGCCTCTCTTACTGCTGTACTGTGAAATGCTACATTGCCCAATTAATTTATTAAATCTAGTAGTTTTTTGGTGGAGTCTTTATAGTTTTCTATGTACAATATGCCATCTGTGAATAATGAAAATTTTACTTCCTCCTTTCCAATTTGTCTGATTGCTGTGGATAGGACTTCCAGCACTATGTTGAATAAGAGTGGTGAAAGCAGACATCCCTGTCTTGTTCCTGCTCTTAGGAGAAATGGTTTTAGTTTTTGCCCATTGAGTATGATGTTGGCTGTAGGTTTTTCACATATGGCCTTTATCATGTTGAGATATTCTCCCTCTATTCCCACTTTGCTGAGAGTTTATATCAAAAATGGCTGTTGGATTTTTTCAAATGCTTTTCCTGCATCCATTGATATGGTCATGTGATTTTTATCTTTCAATTTATGTGATGTATCATGTTTATTGATTTGTGAATATTGTACCAGCCTTGCATCCCTGGAATAAATCCCACTTGGTCACAGTGTATGATCTTTTTGATATATTGCCGCATCTGATTTGCTCATATTTTGTTGAGGATTTTAGCATCTATGTTCATATTGGCCTGTTATTCTCTTTCTCTGTAGTATCTTTATCTGGTTTTGGGATTAGGGTAATGCTAGCCTCATAAAAAGAGCTTGGAAGTGTACCTTCTTTTGGATTTTTTGGAATAGTTTGAGGAGTATAGGTGTTAGTTCTTTGAATGTTTCGTAAGACTCCCCCTGAAGCCGTCCAGACCAGGGCTTTAGTGTGCTGGGAGTTTTTTGATTACTGCTTCTATTTCATCAGTTGTTATTGGCCTATACTGATTCTTCTTGATTCAGTTTTGGGAGATTGTATTTTTCTAGGAATTTGTCTATTTCATCCACATTGTCCAGCTTGTTGTTATATAGTTGTTCATAGTATTTCCTTACAATCCTTTGTATTTCTGTGGTGTCAGTGGTTCTTCTCCACTTTCATTTTTTATATTATTTATTTGGGTTCTCTCTCTGTTTCTTGATGAGTCTGGCTAATGGTTCATTCATGTTGTTTATCCTTTCAAAGAACCAGCTCTTGGTTTTATTTATTTATTTATTTATTTATTTATCTCTATGTCATTATTTCTGCTCTAATCTTTATTATTTCCTTCCTTCTAGTTCAGTGGTTCTCAACCTTCCTAATGCCGCGACCCTTTAATACAGTTCCTCATGTTGTGGTGACCCCCAACCATAAAATTATTTTCATTGCTACTTCATAACTGTAATTTTGCTACTGTTATGAATCGTAATGTAATTATATATGTGTTTTCTGATGGTCTTAGGCGACCCCTGTGAAAGGGTTGTTCGACCCCCAAAGGGGTTGCAACCCACAGGTTGAGAACCGCTGTTCTAGTTACTCTGGGTTTTTCCTGTTGTTCTCTTTCTAGTTTTTTAAGTTGTAAGGTTAAATAGTTTATTGTTGATTTTTCTTGTTTTTTGAGGTATGCCTGTAGTGCTATGAACTTCCCTCTCAGGACTGCTTTTGCTGTGTTGTAGAGATTTGGGGTTGTTGTGTATTCATTTTAATTTGTTCCCAGGAAGTTTTTGATTTCTTCTTGATCTCGTTGGTAACCCATTCATTGTTTAATAACATGCTACTTAGTCTCCATGTGTTTGAATGTTTTGGGGTGTTTTTATTGGAGTTGATTTAGAATTTCATTCCACTGTGACCTGAGAAGGTACTTGATATGATTTCAATCTTTTTGAACTTGTAGAGACTTGTTTTGTGTCCTAACATGTGGTCTATCTTTGTGAATCATCCATGTGCACTTGAGAAGTATATTCTACAGCTTTGTGGTGAAATGTTCTATAAATGTCAATTAAATCCATCTGATCCAGTGTGTCCTTTAGAGTCATTGTTTCCTTGGTAAGTTTTTGTCTGGAAGATCTATCCAGGGAAGTCAGCATGGTTTTAAAGTCCCCTACTATGACTGTATTGTTGTCTATCTGTTTCTTAAATCCTCTAGAATATATAAAGCCGTGACACTGAGCCTAGACTTAGTACCCGACCTAAGTACAGTTTCCACCTTCTCCAGGAACGTAATCTTAGTCAGGAACTTTCTGGTCTGTGCCAATGAGATAGTTGTCACTCTGTGAGCCCTCTCCATCCCCCAAAGGAAGCTAAGGTAACCTGCCTGATGAGACCCCCGCCTACCCCTGAAACCTTGCCAGAAACAATCCTTTCTTCTCATTCACTAATAACTTTCTTGTCCCATCCAGTTTCTGCCTATAAAAACCTTCCATTCTGTACAACTCCTGGAGATGGGATGCTGACCAATTCATGAATCATTTAATAAAACCAATTAGATCTTCAAATTTACTTGATTGAATTTTTGTTCTTTAACAGTCTTTGAAAAGACATAATATTACTTTCCTCACCAATATGACATCAGCATTTTTCTTTACAAGAACTTTGAGGGCTTCCCAAGCAGATCTAAGGGGCTGGAGGGGTGGGGGAGGCATGAAGGGGGACCCAGGCCACCACAGTGTTTGTGAAATGAGTACAATGAGCGTGTAGAGCTTTCTAAGCTGCTCCTGTGCTCAACACATTAGGGTAAGTCAGTGACTTCGATGAGCAGGCGCTACAATGAGGCACAGGGGCCAGGTTCTGTAGGGTCGGGAGCTTGCATTATTTGGAGGCGATCATCTATAAAAGAAAAAGAATACAAGTTACAAATGCAAAAATAGATATAAATGAGAATATTTGTTTAGAATGAAAAAAATCACTCTAAAATACAAATTTTAAGAAGATAAATACCACGAAAATCACAAAACCTAGAAAATTACATATTCTTATTAATTGCCCCACACAGCTCTACAATACTTTTTCTAAATTTGGTATGACGTGTAATTCTGAAAAATATACAAAATCCATCTGAAATGGAGGCAGTCGTAGGAAGAATTCAAACACACTTAAAAACCCCTGCCACGTGTACTGGGCCACCTACTAGTAATTGTGTGACAAGATGCTTCTAGCGCTACAACATGGGCTTCCCCCTGAGTGTGTAGTTCTGTCACCAGCACACTCGCTCCTTCAGACATCTCTCTGTGTTGGTGGCAACTGTGCATGCCATTCTGCTGGAACCAGCAGATTTTACCGGGACCCGAGGCCTCCAATAGACTAAGAAGCACTCTGTCACATGGGATGCTTTACTGTGACATCACATACAGTGCTCGTGTGGTACTGTTACCAATTTGGACCCACAAACACAAGAATTTTTATCAAATTCCAGCTTGTGTAATTCCCACTGGGAGAGAAGACAATGTTTGTTATGTTCATAACTACACACATTCACTATCAGCTGCTTTCCTCACAGGAGAGAGCTGTTTTGCCAGCCTTGAGAGAACCAAGTCCTCTCCTGGCAATTTTATATATTTTCACTCTTCTGTTTTTTTAATTTATAGATTTGAGAGAGAGAGAGAGAGGAGGGAGAATGTGAGAGAAAGAAACATTGATGTATTGCTCCACTTATTTATGCATTCATTAGTTGATTCTTGTATGTGCCCTGACCGGGGATCAAACCAGCAACCTTGGCATCTCAGACAACGCTCCAATAAACTTAACTACCCAGCCAGGACCTGGCAATGTTACTTGTTTGATCTTTGGAAGGCTCTTCCCAACTAGCTTCTGGCTCAGTGTATTTCAAACCTTATTTTTCCTCCTCGCCCACGTGCTTCCAGAAAGGGGGCGTGACCCACAGGGGGGAGCCGGAGGGAGGTAAGACATTCACACCTGATGAACTCATGCTGCAACTGTGTGTCCTGATGCAGGGCCAGTCAGCACTGTGGGTGAGAACAGTGTTCCTATCCAGTATGACTGGAGGTAACTTGTCTATGCAAGGAAGTAACTGTGAGCTACATAAATAAATCCCACTAAATCCAAATTAAATGCTTCCCCAACTCATCTTCCTCTTAGCTGGATCCCCAAAATGCACACAGCCACCCAACTGAGGGGAAATCAGACAGAGAAGCGCTGGAATGGAAAGAGACAGAGGTCTTAACCAGCTGTGGTCAATGTTCCTTTTGCGTAGACTACGAACATGTTGCTGCGCAGGGAGGAGCCCTGACGCTTCATCAGCTTCTTGGCAAATATGCCCCTAGACTGGAACCAGGAGCAGGTGCGTGCAATGTGTGTGTGGGGTGTA